GTTGGCTCTTTCTCGCCACCACGCCATCCCACAAGGTAAATTACGTCCCATTGTTGGCTCTTTCTCGCCACCACGCCATCCCACAAGGTAAATTATGTCCCATTGTTGGCTCTTTCTCGCATTTAATTAAAGTTCTTTAAGAAATGAGTTAGAATATCTCAGTAACATGTCAACAGCTAAGGGCTAGTCTTTACTCTAAATTGCTGTTCTTACCCCCCCCCCCCTCCCAAAACAAAAAACACAATATCCTCCAGATACCAATAGGCCACTTTAGAAACGAATAAAGGACTGGGAACGAGTATATAGAAGGTATTGATAATTAATCTTATTGAAAATACATTTCCATGACGAGAAAGAACATATCACAACTAACAGGTTTCTGCAGTATGGCTTTAATTGGCTAAGTAACAGCTACATTCAAGCAATCAAAAATATCAAAAATTACAAAGAAATGTTTGTTCACTAGGGACAAGTGTCCCAGTAACCATACATACGTCTTTGTAAGTTTTGAGATGTTTGGAAGAGTTTGCTACACAAAAGGAATGGAACACAACTCGTTTCTAAAGTAGCCAGTTTCTTTTGAAATAAAAAGCTTTTGAATTAAAAAGTCGATGTTCTTTTCAATTAGACGTGAATTGATGATCAAAAGRATTTAAAGTGGACTTAGTTTGCGCAGGTGATCATCGCGACATTACTTAAAAGAACAAAATACCACGTGACTTCACTAAAACAAGTTATTAAGCGTTACTTTCGAAATCCATTAAAAAGAAAGCCATTACATCGTTATTTGACCAGCTAGATTAACTACTATATTATCTTTTAGATAGAGTGCGCAAAAACTGAGACTTCAACTCCATTTTAATTAGAGGGTGCGTTTGTCGGCGTTGAAAATTTTGAGCTGTGATTGGCACAGACCATTATTTTTTCTACGGTTACGCTTTTTGATTCAATTGTTTTCAACCGTTTATGATACAGCCGCCCAAGGATGGTATTTTAAAATTGCAATAAGAAAAAGGAAAGGAATGAAGGAAGGAATGAAGGAGGCAAGGAACTGGGAAAGGAAAAAAAGAAAGGAAGGAAGGAATGAAGGAATGAAGGAGGCAAGGAACTGGGAAACGAAAAAAAGAAAGGAAGGAAGGAAGGAAGGAGGCAAGGAACTGGGAAAGGAAAAAAAGAAAGGAAGGAAGGAAGGAAGGAAGGAGGCACGGAAGGAAGGAAGGGAAGGGAAGGGAAGGAAGGAAAGAAGGAATTTGATATGCCCCCC